CTGTGTGTCTTGTATGGCACACATCATGTAACCAGGTGGGGCTTCAGGGTTGCCAGGGCGTCTGTGTGCTACATTCGTTAGCCCACAATGGTACCGTCGCGGTGCCATCTTTGTTATGACACACATGTAAACCGTGGTGGGCTTTGGTGTTCAGGGGCTGTGTTGTCTTGTTATGGCACACCAACATGTAACCAAGTGGGCTTCCGGCAGCTGGGGTGCTGTTGCTGTCCGTTGGGTCTATGGCTACAGGACACGTTACCACCGGGGCTGGCTTCGGGAGGCCCAGGCCGCTCGCGACGGAAGACCCTCTTCTCTATGGCACACACTGCGGCTCGCTAGCGGCCGGGCGTGTTCTCTATGGCCTCTTCCGGCGCAGAACGGAAGTGATACGCTGCGCCCCGGAAGCGCCCGGGGAGGGTGGCTGTGGGCGGCTGCAGCGCGATGGCGGCGGCGGCCGTGTCGGAGGCTTGGCCGGAGCTGGAGCTGGCGGAGCGGGAGCGGCGGCGGGAGCTGCTGCTGACCGGGCCCGGGCTGGAGGAGCGGGTGCGGGCGGCCGGCGGGCGGCTGCCGCCGCGGCTCTTCACCCTGCCGCTGCTGCACTACCTGGAAGTGAGCGGCTGCGGGAGCTTGCGCGCGCCGGGGCCGGGCCTGGCACAGGGCCTGCCGCAGCTGCACAGCCTGGTGCTCCGGTGCAACGCGCTGGGCCCCGGCCTGAGCCCCGAGCTCGGGCCGCTGCCCGCCCTGCGGGTGCTCGACCTGTCGGGCAACGCGCTGGAGGCGCTGCCGCCGGGCCAGGGCCTGGGCCCTGCCGAGCCGCCGGGCCTCCCGCAGCTGCAGAGCCTCAACCTCAGCGGCAACCGGCTACGCGAGCTGCCCGCCGACCTGGCGCGCTGCGCCCCGCGCCTGCAGAGCCTCAACCTCACCGGCAATTGCCTGGACTCCTTCCCTGCCGCGTTCTTCAGCCCCGGCGCGCTGCCCCTGCTCAGCGAACTGGCGGCTGCTGACAACTGCCTGCGAGAGCTCAGCCCCGACATTGCCCACCTGGCCTCGCTTAAGGTCAGCGGGGGCTGCCCGGGCGGGGTGGGATGGGGCTTGCAGTAGCCCCGGAGAGGGAACCCCTTTCGGGGCTGAGCTATCCCCGGTGACGCCCTGGGCCTGGGGAATTCTTGTTGTGCCAGAAGGAGCCAGCTCTAGTGGCATCATCTCTAGGAGGTCGTCCCCAACTCCCCCTCCACCTGACCACAGTCACACACTCGGTGATCTCTGAACTGCCACCGCAATTGCATTTGCACCTGGACTTCCACACTTGCCACGCCAGTTCATCACTGTTAGCAAACTGGGCGTGCCCCTCAGCTCTTTAGCGGTTCCCTCTTGTCCCTGAAAGAAGCCCACTTGGCCCTTCTTGGGAAAACTTTCTGAATAGGTCGCAGACTTGAAGCTGCCCCAGCCTCTGCTGCTTTCCAGGCCTGATGTGACGTGCCTGGGGCCGGTGGAGGCAAGAACACCCCACTGGCTGGGGTTTCATGTAGTAATGAGGCTTCACCCCAGTGGAGCTCTCAGGCCTATTGACCTGAATCCCTTAGGGCAGCCAGAAGCCTCCAGAGCTGGCGGGTGCACACAGCTGTGGACAGCCTGCTGCACGGGGACCTCTCACCTGGCCTTCATGTGGCTCTCGGGCAGCCATGCCATGCTGTTGAGCTGGCGGCCCCAGCTGGTTCCACCCTGCTGCTGTGTAGCCCAGACTTGTTGTGACACGCTGGAGTCAGGGCTCAGAGAGAGGGTGGGGAGCGTGCTGGCTGGGGAAACTGGGGACGATACAGCTCGTGATGTTCTGCCAGGCCACCCAGATTCCCGTGGCAGCCAGGCCCTGCCTTGTGCCTGGCAGGATGGGAGGGAGGCCTGAGCTGAGGCCCCTCCACCCGCTGCAACCCATCCTGCCTGGAAGGCACAAAGTGGTGACAGTTCTGCTGGGTTTGTCTGAGCCACCAGCCTTTCTCCGATCCTGCAGGGCACTGTTCCCTCTTTTACACTGATCCTGTTTGGCTTTCACGGCATCCCCTTTCTTCCTCTCTGCTGTCCCTTTGGGGGCTCTGAGCAGCCTGATTGCTTGAGGCAGAAGCTCCCACAGATTCCTCTCTGGTCTCCTCCACTTGGGGCTTGACAGTCCCGCCACGCTTATCCTCGTACCAGCCCAAGCAGATGGAGTCTTCTGAGTCACTGGAGCCCCCGACTCCTCTCTGTTCAGAATTAAATCCAACCCCCACCCCCGCCTCTCTCCTCCATCCCAGTGTGACCAGCACTTGCTGGCCACACAGACTGAGTGTCAGCGCTGAATTCAGGGTGGCCCATGCAATGTTGCCTTGTCTTGGGGCTCTCACAGAGGGTCTGGGGTTAGCATAGCCCAGCAGGGCCATCGGCAGCTTCCCAGTAGCCCCAGAGGAATGTGGGAAAGAAGCGTGTGATCCTGTGCCTAACTTGGGCTGAGGCTGCTGCTGGGACAGTTGCCTGGGCACCAGGTCAGGAAACGGGGAGCCGGGCCACCCCTGGCAGAGGGGACGGTAGGGAGGCTGCTGCTACTGCTGTTGTGAGCAGCCCTCCCGCCCTGCCCAGGCTCGAAGGATGCCCTGTGAATGCGGACGGTGCTGCTCTGCTGTCCGTGTCATCTGGGATGCCAGCTGCACGTTTTGTTGCCTCTGATCTGTGACAGTGACAGGAAGCACTTTCTCATGGGCCAAGGGGCTTCCTGGGTGGCCCAGGCCCTCTCCTGGGTGAGAGAAAGGGGTTCCCATCCCCAGTGAAGCCAAGTCATGTTTCCTTTCCCACGTGACACGTGAGAGCTACGCACATTTGCTGGTGACCTCGAGCCTCAGTGTGAGAAAGAGTGATGCTGTTTGGAGATATTGCTGTATTTCTTCTTTTAATTAATAGCTTGTTTAATTTTTTAAAAAATCTTAGCACTGTTTTGGGATCCTGTTGCCCACCTGAAGCAGTACTGACTTGCTCCTGGAGTGAGCTCACGTTTTATAACCAGACATCCCTTTCCCTTGCCACCTCTCTTTCTCTAACCTAACGACTGGTCCAAATGTCGCTGTGGTACCCAACTTGTAATCAAACTACAGGCGTGAGGTGTGTGAGTCAGAAAGAGGCTTCACAGAGGTTGTGGTCATGTTGCTGACTCCTTCCCATTGGAGGAGCTCCCTGGACAGTGACGTCCTTGCGGGGTCCAGAGTTGGGGGAAGTCACAGATGCATGGTGTCACAGCCTTGGGGTCTCTTCCCGGAGTCCAGGTCGTCTGAGGAGTCCTTGGTTTCTCTTCATAGACGCTGGACCTCTCCAATAACCAGTTAAGCGAAATCCCGGCCGAGCTTGCCGACTGCCCCAAGCTCAAGGAAATCAACTTCCGGGGGAACAAGCTCCGAGACAAGCGGCTGGAGAAGATGCTCGGCGACTGCCAGACCCGGTCCATCCTGGAGTACCTGCGGGCCGGACGCCGAGGCTGTGGGAAGGGCCGGGGCCGCGAAGGCGCGGAGAAGGACGAGAGCCGCAGGAAGAGGCGGGAGAGGAAGCCCAGGCGGGACGGCGGTGAGGGGGCTGAGCCGGACACGGGAGATGTAGGTCGGCTGCTGCTCAGGGTCCTGCACGTCTCTGAAAACCCGGCGCCCCTGACGGTCAGGGTGAGCCCTGAGGTCAGGGACGTGCGGCCCTACATCGTAGGGGCCATCGTGCGGGGCATGGACCTTCAGCCCGGAAACGCACTCAAGCGGTTCCTCGCCGCACAGGTGGGTGCATGGGATGCTCAGGGGGTGAGGGTGTGGCCAGCGGGACGCCTCCGGCCAGCACGTCCGAGGGAGAGGCCTAGGGTGCGGGGCTCAGCAGGGTGTCCGCGTGCCTCAGTTTCCTCACTTTGAAAACCGGAACAGAGGGGTGTCGGTGAGGAAGGCTCAAGGGAGGATCCGCCCTGCTGGCCCAGGAGGCCTCATGGCCCGTCCTAAGTCCACAGCAGGGGCTTGGGGAAGCGGGTGAGCCGGCCATCGACAGCACCCTCCACCCTCTGCTCCTCCAGGGACATTGTTCATAGTTCATCCTCGTTACTGCATACAGCTTTATTACCGCTGAAAGTTGGCACTGCTTAAGTCCGCTGATACTTTGGTAGATTTCCAGAGGTCTGCAAATAAATATACATTTGGTTTTAGATAGCATTCAAATCATCAACTTTTGCCAGCACATTCTTATGTGAATTGTTTAGTTTTTGTTTAGGTTTTGGCCAGACTGCCTTCCCAGTCTGTTCTGTTTCTGTCACGCCTGCCCAGCTTTTCACAGAGGTGAAAAGAAAGGGTGGGGGGAGCCCCAGTGTTCCCGGGAGGCAGCCCGGCCTCCTGGAAGCCCCGTGTTGCTGTCCTCGGAGCCCTTGCAGTTTGGGGAGGAATCAAACAGGGTTTTAGAACTTAAAAACCAGCATTTTGGGAAAAAAACATGCTAAGGTGATTTTTCATTTTAAAATCTTATATTTATTCAGTGCTAAATTTTAGTTCAAGATGGGCTCTTTGAAATCTCAATTATTGTGTTTTAGAATTAGAGAAATTCTGCTGTTAAACAGATAAGATAGCTTTCTGATGACAATTCCACAAAAAACTTGTTTGGCCAGGAGTCAGGGAAAGAGCTGTTTTGTAAAGGCAGGTGACAAGGTTGGTGATGTGGAGAGGCCTGAGGATCGGGAGGGTCCCCCGCCATGCAGGCCTGGGTGAGGGTCTAATGCAGACTCCTGGCCATGGTTCAGGGCAAACGAAAGCTTTGCTTGTCTTTGCTTTTGTGTTTTAGACCAAGCTCCACGAAGATCTGTGTGAGAAGCGGACAGCGGCCACCATGGCAACCCACGACCTCCACACGGTCAAAGGGCCCCTGCTGTACGGAGCCCGGCCGCCGCAGGACCTCAAGGTGCCACAGCGCTTGCCGTGGTGTCTCTCCAGAGACGCATATTCTGGTGGCCAAGCCAAGCACTTTAAAGTAGACTCTGACACTGCTGCTAGCAAAGCCGAGGAAGGAGATAATAAAACAGGCCACATCTGCAGTTACTTTTGAAAGCAATTGCATGACTCTTCGGAATAGCCAGCAAAGCAGGCGGTCATTTGAAAGGGGTTTCCTTCGTTTGTGCACTAACTTTTAACCAAAAATTTTCGTTTATATCCCACTTGCAAAACCCCTAATGTGGCGTTGACCTTAGCGTGAGTTGCTGTGTCGCGATGCCGTTCTTGGGTGTTGAATTCTGCACAGTGCACCGCATCCCTGGGTGGTGGGGGGTCCCCTGCCAGCCTGTCTCTACTGAGATCAGACAGATCTTTGGAAACCCAGTTACGCATCAGCCGGCTGGTTTAGGCTTAAGCTCGGCTTCAGAAGTATGCGAGTGTTTGGACGGCAGATCCCCACCCGACCTCTGAAGACAGCCTGCATATGGCTTCTTGTCATGTGGTCACGTGGGGTGAGGCGGTCAGCCCCTCCCTGTCGTAGAGATGGACGAGAGGGTTAGGGTTAGGACCGGCGGGCTCCGTGCCTGTGGTCCTAGGGGAGTCTGTGGGTTTCTGCCCGATAGATTGTCCCCTTGGGGCGGAGGGAAGCCAAGGCCAAGGAGCTGGTGCGGCAGCTGCAGCTGGAGGCGGAGGAGCAGCGGAAGCAGAAGAAGCGGCAGAGCGTCTCGGGCCTGCACAGGTCGGTCTGTGCAGACTCGGGCTTCGGAACATCGTTCTCCGAAGCCCGTTGAACGTGCGCCCTTGACGTTACACTTAATGTGTCTAAAGAACTTCCCGTGTGTGCAGCATATCCATTAGGTGTGTTGTTGACAGTCATGCCTTTGATTTGTGTTTCTTCCCACACAGGTACCTTCACTTGCTGGATGGAAAAGAAAATTTCCCTTGTCTTGTGGACGCGGACGGCGACGTGATCTCGTTCCCGCCCATAACAAACAGCGAGAAGACAAAGGTGGGGCGGTGCGCTTGAGCGCGCTGTGTCTTCCGGGCTGTTCTGTGCAGAGTGAAAACGAGTGTTTGCTCTATCAGCGGTCCCACTGTGGAGTGCGGTGGGAAACGCAGGCCGCCCGCAGGGCGGGCCCTGGCTCCTCGGAGCACGCGTCACCGTGCCTGGTCTGTGCTTCGCGGTAGCTGGGGGTGGTCGGGCGCTTGGCGTCCCAGTTTGTATCTCTCCTTAGGAAAGGGGCAGTCTTGGCTTCTACGAGACTGTTTTATAAGATTTTTCTCCAGGATAAATGTTGCAGTTGCTGTTGTCTACTTTCAGTAACTTTATTTTCTGAAATCTCTCATTTTTTTTAAGATTAAGAAAACAACTTCTGATTTGTTCCTGGAAGTGACAAGTGCCACGAGCCTGCAGATCTGTAAAGATGTCATGGACGCCCTCATTCTGGTGAGCGAGCCCCGCGTCTCCTGGCACGCGGCGGTCTCCTCCGCGTCTTCCCGCCGGGCTGCGCGGCCGGGCCGCCTCCTGCCTGTGGCACCAGGTTACACATGTCTTCCCTGGGTCACCTCTCCTCCCTAGGTTAAAAAAGATATTTTCCTTTACAGAAAATGGCAGAAATGAACAAATTTACTTTGGAAAATAAAGAGGAAGGAGCACTCTCAGATACCGAAGCTGACGCAGTTTCTGGACAGCCTTCGGGTCCCAGAACAAACCCAGCTGCCGGGAAGGACGGGCAGTCGCTGCTGGTGGTGGAGCAGGTCCGGGTGGTGGACCTGGAGGGGGGCCTGAGGGTCGTGTACCCCTCCAAGGCCGACCTGGCCACCGCCGCCCCCCACGTGACCGTCGTCCGCTGACGGCCAGGACGCGCTCTGCCCAGCAGCTCCCTGTGTGTCTCGCCCGTTTCACAGAGGTCTCTACGTGGTGACATCATCCTCGTTTTCACCTCCGTGTTCTTTGAGATGTATGTATGTGTTCTTTGTTCTGTTTTTCCAGATGACTCTGTCGTGAGTGATGCTATGTTGTCATTACGGCACCAAACCGATCTTACCGTTTTTCACTAAATTATCTAAACATCGGAATTAACTGTTCAAAATGTTCTGAATCATGTAGACACACAGCAAATAACTCCACTTCAGGAAAAAACACTGTACAGTCGTGCGCCGCATAGCAATGTTTTGGTCCGTGATGGTGGTGGAGCCTGCTGTGTAGACAGACCTGACAGGTGGCCCTCAATGCTGACACTGCAGACCAAGTGTGGGACTCGGCTGACAGTCAGTCATGGTGCTGGGGCATTTGGTTTTCCATATGAAAAAACATAGATAAATAAAAAGACATGCCGTCTGGTTTGTGTAAGTACACAGTATGGTGTTCACACAACACTGAACATTTCTGAGGGCATTTCCACACTCAGCGACGTACGACTGTAATCGGTTTGAGTATCCGGTTACAAATTGGGAAGCTGACTGCCGTGTACTTTCTTGAACTGCACAATCATTTTTCTATGATGTTCTGTTTAAATCATATTGTGCCCGTTTGGAGCTTGGAAATGTGCAAGGACATTGTGTTTTCAAGCTTGCAGTGATCATAATCTTTCTACAAAAACAGGTTTTTTTAATGTGACTTTAGAGTTGGCAGAATTGCTTTTCTTAGAAGTGCTGTCGGAGTGCTGCAGCGGGGGTAGAGACGCTTCCAACCCTCCGGCAGGCGGCCCCCCGGGTCTGGAGGCTGCAGCAGGACTTGGCCTGGTGCTGTGGGGCCGCGCAGAGGTGGGGGCTGCCGGGAGGTTCATCCTTTGCGCAGTAGCACCCGTGACAGACAGAACCCCCCCCCCCAGGTGGACTTGCAGGTTCAACCGGCTCTGTTGGTTGGTAAGTAGTTGTCAGCCAGCCGAGGGACAGTGGCAGTGACCAGAGGACATGTAGGTTTTCAAGCCAAAAATCATAGTGAGCACATGCCAAAGGAGTGGTTCTTCAGCATTTTATATTCTAGACGTTTCCAGTTTTGTGTGTCTCCCGGTCATGGACCATCTGTGTCTTTGCATGTCTCGTGCATGTGCCGGAGCACACGCACACACCCTCCCTGGAGGCAGAGTGCGCCTGGGTCCTGAGGACCCGGCCAGCCCCAGAGGAGGTGGCTTTCACTGCCCCATTGCCTTACAACCTGGCTGCCGCGTGCGAAACTGCCTGTCCTGCTGTTGTTTGTTAATGAGACCGTTTGTCTCCTGTTCAGTGGTTTTTGACCTAAAAGGATAATTTCTGTGTTCTGTAGAAATGACCGATGATTTTTTGGAGCATTTGCAAGAGCCCAGACCAGAGAGGCCTGGGGTTTCAGGCGGTGGGCAAACTGACAGTGCTCGGTGCTTTGTCCATAGCCTGTACGACACAGGCTGGGCCGCCTCGAGACCCCGCCCTGTCGCCAGGTCACCACCAGGCCTTCCGTCAGTCCCGCTGGGGGGCTGCTGAGCTCCGCGCCTGGCCAGCTACGGCAGACGCCAGCTTTGCTGTCTCTGTGTTGTTGCCCCCAAACCCACCCCATGTCTGCATGTGTTGGTGGCCCCGGCTTGTCATTTCCTGACGCTCTGTTGAGCAGTCAAGGCTGGAGGCTGAGGCAGCATTCCCAGGCCAGGACTCTGCCTGAGCTCAGCACCTGGGGGCCACGGATAGTCGCTCCGGGGGTCGCCCTTCTCTGCATGGCCCAGTACAGCACGGGACGGTGAGAGGCCCTCTTGGCACCCGGGGACTGAGGGCTCAGCGCCTCATTGCAACAGATACCACCTCACTGATGACAAGCCACCAGCTCCTGCCATGCTCGTTCCTGATGCGGCGGTTATGTGTTTGATTTTGGAGACATATTTAACTTGCAGCAGAAACCGCTTTGAGGTTCTTTTTCTTGCCCATCTGACTGCTAATAAAAACATTTCATAACATCTCAGCTCCTTGGCCAGTGGTCCTTCCCCACCGGTATTTCCCGAGGTCCCTGCTGGCAGCGTCATAAAAGTCCACTCTAGCCCAGTGGCGGTTTACAAGTGGGGAAGCTGAGGGCAGTACTGCCCAGTGCGCCAGCCCAGATCTTGCCAGCAGGACTCGAGGGGCACCTCACTGCTGTCACAGAAGCCCGTGTCCTCGCCTGCCCCTGCCTGCGGCACAGGGGACACTCGCCTGGTGGCACATGCAGAGAAGCCCGGGCACCCAGCCTGCCCCGCAGATCCTCCTGGGAGGAGAGGCCGGGTGGCCACTTGGCAGGGTCCTGTCCCATCTGCTCCCAAGCCCAGGACTTGTGACGGTGTCCAGCCCCAGCATACAGCTCCAGGGGTGGGTCGGAGCCACTGCCGCCACCCTGGCCATTCCAGGCTCTGGATGGGGCCTGAGGTCACTTGAGGCAGCTTGAGTGGAGGCTGTGGGCAACCGTGCCTGGCCGATGAGCCTTCCCGCCAGGGGCTGGTAGGGGAGTCCCCGGCTGAACACGCCGGGCATCTGCCAGGGGTGGGCCCAGGGTGCGCTGGCCGAGTCTGGGGCAGACCCCCGTGTCAGCCTCTGCCTTCTGCTGCAGCACCACTGACCGGGTGGGGAGGAGCCTGTGCGAGGACACATGGGTGTCACCTGCGAGTGCCACACCAGCTGGAGAAACTCCCAGGTCACGTCCTCTCCTTCCAGGCTAGGCCAGGCACCCCTCCTCCCTCTGTCCTGTGCCCTCACTGGGCTCCTGGCCGGAGCCCCCCAGGCCTTGGAGAGGCCCAGCCCTGGACCTCCAGAGCCCACTGGAGGCCATGCAGCCTCTGTCACATGCTCACAGCCCCAGGGAAGGCCTCCAGCTGCCCTCCCGGGCCTCGACGCAGGGGTGGGCAGTGGCCCAGAGACTGCCCTGACCCGCAGCGGGCTCCCAACGACGCACCATCACTTGGAGACCCCAGCCCAGGACTGCCCCTCAGCATCCCAGCCAGGGCCTTGGGGCAGTGGACAGCGGGCCTCTGGCCCCGGGCAGACCTCAGGTGGGCCTGCTCTCCCTAAAGGTGGGTGGGATGGGGAGTCTCTGCTGCCAGCCCACCCTGGCCAAGCCCCTCCGTTTACTTGACCGGCGCAGCGAGGAGCACTGGGAGGGCTCCTGGCCTGGGGGTGAGCGTAGCCTCAGCCTCCTGACGACGGTCTCACCCCGCAGCCTCCCTTCTCCGTGCCGTGAGGACACTGGCTGCCCATGTCTCCCACCCCTACCCCTGGGGTGAGGAACACTTCCCTAAAGGGGTGTTTCTGGCCAGGGTCTGCAGGGCCCGAGGCAGACTTTGGGGTAGGCGAGGGCCAAGTGTGCGGCCCAGGGGAGCATCTGCTGAGAGCGCGGAGGCTGGGACAGGTGGCCAGGGAGAGGGACTGGAGGCTCAGGGGTGGCCAGCACGGGTGGCCCCAGAGTGGGAACAGGTCCAGCCACATCTTGGCCCTCAGGCCTGCCCCTGTCCTCACCAGAAGGCCCAGCCAGGAGGGGGCAGGTTCCAAGGCTGAGTGCCAGACAGGGGTCCTGCCCAGGAGGAACAAGGCCATCCCATAGGCCTACGAGAGTCACATGGGGCCACACCTGGCCGAAGTTCATCCAGCGGACGTTTAATGATGCCTCTGCCCAGGCTCAGGCCTGCTGACAGAGCAGAGGCAGACCAGGGTCCTCCCTGGCAGTGGCGGCCCCCGGGGGGACACAGCCAGCCAGCGAGGTGGGCAGCCCGGAAGCAAGGGCCAAGGCCCCCTCCCGGCTCTGTGCAGGAAGCACCTTCCAGGGCTGCTCTCAGTCCCCAGGGGAAGGGTGGGTGGGGACCCAGCCCCCGCTGGAGCCATCCTTGCACAACCGGGAGTGAGAAGGGCCTGGACAGCTCTGCACAGGCCGCACACGGAGGAAAACGGGGCAGGACCCCCGCCCTGGGGCCCATCAGGGAGGTGGGCTTGGGGTGTCTGCAGAGGGCACCCCTCATCCCAGCCTCGACAAAGGAAAGGCCTGGGCCCTGGGCTTGGACAGGTCGGCCACCTGCTGTGGCCAGGGCCTTGGGCCTCAGGGCCTGGCCTGGGCGTGTCCTGCAACTTCTGCTGAAGCTGGGACCAGCTCTCCCAGCCACGTGTGCCTTTGAGGGGTGGTGGTACGCGCCAGGGTTTGTCTCTCGGTCCTTTAACCACTTCAGCATGGCGCTCACCGGCCGCGACACCTCGCCCACAGCCGGCACTCACAGTCCGCACCGTAGTCTGTGCTGTGCATTGACGACGCATCGGTTTTGCTCTTGTGTGATCAGGAAAGCTTTAAAGCACTGAAAGCTTCTTTTACTTTACAGTCAGCTTTACTTGTCATGTAAATCAGAATAGGTAACATAGACATATATGTTTTCATTAGGTTATTTTTAAATGTTCACAATTTTATTTTGATAAATGAAAAATTAGAAAAGTCCCATCACGGCTGTCGGCTAAAGTCGACGCTCGGCTGCGCGCGGTCCTCTGTGGCTGTCGACGATAGTTGACGCTGGCACCGAAGTGGTTAAAGGACTTGTGTGCTGCGAGGTGTGTGCACCCCCGTGTTGGGCCTGTGACAGCCGTGCCCCTGGTGTCCTCATGAGCCTGGCTGCCAGCGCATGTGCCTGTGCACTGTCTGCCTCCGGGCCCACGTATATGAGAGGGGTCTGTGTATACGGGGGTCTTTGTCACCGGGGCGTGTTTATATGGGGCATCTGTATATTTGGGGGTCTTTATGTGACAGTCTGTGTATATGGGGGGGTCTGTGTTATGGAGTATGTGTATATAGGGGGGTCCGCGTATACAGGGTGTCCCTCCAAGCCTGTGCCCTAAAGCGTGGGCAGCCAGCCCTGAGTGCACACAAGGGCCACCCTCATTTGCACTTGTGCACGTAGTAGCCGGTGACGTAGCCCAGGATGAAGATGACCCAGAAGAGGACCACTCCGCCCAGCACCTTCATGGCGACCCCCAGCTTGCCGCTACACAGCTTCCGAGAGATCCTAGGGGGAGAACCACCTGGAGGTGAGCCCCAGGTCAGGGTGCAGGAGGGTCCCCCTGAGTGGACTGCGGGGGGGTTGGGCTGGGTCAGGGGGAGGGTGGGTCCCGGGGCAAGTGGGCCCCAGTGCAGGTGGTCCTGAGGGCAGGCAGCCAGCAGGGTCTGGAGGAGGGCCCTGGGCAGTCAGCCCGGCTGCAGCAGAGGGCTGGGCACTGTGGCCAGATGAGGCGGGCAGCAGGGACAAGGCAGGTGTCTACACAGGGAGTGACCAGCCTGCTGGGGCCAGCAGGGCTCCTCCTCCCAGGCCCCCTCACCTCTGGCAGCACGAGGGCTCCTCGGTGCTGGACACGGCCGCCATGCTGACTTGGTCCTGGCTGCTGTCATCCCACCTGCTGTAGTGGACGCTGCTATCTGGGGGCTGCATGCTGCAGGGCTGCGGCGGGAGGGGCGGAAGCCTTCACGGGTGGGGAGACTGAGGCAGGCGTCGAGGCTCTGACTTTGCTGCAAAGCACAGGGTCAGCCTGGGGATGGGGAGGGGGTCCTCACTGCATAGTATCATCTGACCTAGTGGGTAACCTAGCTGCAGAGTGCTTAAGCAGTTGCCCAGGGCCGCACCAGCAAGACAAGGAAGGCCAAGGAGGAATTCCGACCCAGCTAGGCTGAGAAGTGGCCCAGCCCTGACCTCAGGAATGTGAGGCCTCCTGTTGGCTGCCCCTCCCCCTCCCCCAAGGCCACCCCTCCCCTCAGGGCCTTCCTCCCCCCCTTCCTTTATCAGAGGAGGCCTCACAGCTGGTGCCACCCTCAGTGAGCCCAGGCTGCGGGCAGCCCTGATAAGTTCCTCCTCGACCCTGCCAGGTGAGGCCCCAGCACTGCCCCCACTGGCCCCTGGGCAGGCTGGCAAGGAGAGGGATGGGCAGGGCCCGGTGGGAGACCTGGGGACGGCGGCTGGCACGGCCAGGCCAGACCAGACCGCTCTCTGTCTAGGGAGGAGGCCCCGGCTGGCCCCGCAGGCCCGGCAACCCAGCAGCTGTGTCCTCAGCCTGTGCAGTGTGGCCCCTCCCCCCACCACCGCCTGGTGTCCCCGGGGCTTGGGGGTCACACTGTGCTAAGTGCTGGGCCCATCAGGGGTAGGAAGGCAGTGGGACCCGGTGGGTGCCGGGTGCAGGAGGGGAGCCAGCTCCCTGCTGGGCTCCAACCCCCTGGTCACCGTGCCAGGCACCCCAAGTGCCTGGAGAGGCAGAGGAGTCGGGACTGAAGTGGGGACTCGCAGAGCAGAGCAGTAACACGGCTGTCACGTGTCCCACTGCTGGCTGCCCGCAGGCCCGTGCCGGGTGCTCCACACCGAGCCTCCCGTTCGCCCTGGACCTGTGTTGGGGCCCCCACCCAGGCTGTGGGGTTGGGGTTGGATCTCCCGTCTGCTGGGCCCCCAGTGTCCCCTCACAGCATCTGGCCCCAGCTGTGCGGGTGCTCGGGCAGGCAGCTGCAGACTCCCCCCACCCCACCCCACCCCGCCCGGCGGCGGGGAAGAGTGACCTTTCTCCCAGGTAATCCTGCACACACAGGCTTAAAGGCAGGTGGGCTACTGACCTGCAAGAAGCCAACCCCGAAACTCCCGGCACGGCACGCTGTGCTTGCCCTCCCCAAAGCCGGGCAAGCAGGGGGAGAAGGGAGGTGTCCCAGAGCCACAAGGCCTGGCTTCAGGGGGGCGCCCTCCTGCTGTCCCTCAGGCGGGGGAGGGGGAGCCAGGAGTTAAGGTTGTGCTTTCCCAGCGTGTTGAGGAGTCGGCTATTGGCCAACCCGCGGCTATTGGCCAACCCACGGTCAGCTGCCTACCCGAGGTTCCCCTCCCTGCTGGTGGGCAGAATCCAGTCTTGTCCCGGCAGCAATACGCCAGCCCCAGGAGACAGCTATGACCCAGGCTAAATACCCTCAGGCCCTGCCTTCCCAAGGCACCCACCCAGCTGTGGGCAAAGGGCCAGAGTGCAACAGGGGGACGGGGGAGTTTTTGCTTCCATGAAAGAAACTGTAGCCACCTCCTCGCTGCCTTGACATGATGGCTGGAGCTGCAGCAGCCGCCTTGCTACCCGGACATCCAAGCAACATCAGCCCTGATAATGCCGGATCTCCAAATCCAACCAGCAACTGCCCACCTATGGGCTTCTCCATGAAACCCCATGTCAACCCCCCATGTCAACCCCAATTTGTCCAAGCCCAGAGTAGCGGGTTCCTGTTACTCGATGACTGACGTAGAATATGTGGCTCTCAAGTCATCCTGGTGGACAAAGCCACCAAAGCTAGTGGGGTGCCCAGAACTGGGCTCTCGAGGGCTTCCCTCACTCACTGGCTCAGTCATCTGCCCAAGGACACATGGCAGGCACAGGTGTGGCAGGGGGAGCCTGTCAGGGAAGCCCTCCAAGCCCTGGGAGCCTCAGGGGGGGGGGTCCCAGCACCTCCTAGGGGTGTGAGCCCGGAAGTTCTTGGCACACAGTGGCTCACACGCAGCCCCCTTCGCCCACAGCGCCTCCGAGCGCCCCACACTTACAAGGGAGATTCCCGCGTGGGGGCTGAAGCCTCCGGGCCGGAGCGCGGTCAGGGCCTGGCCAGCGGACCTCGCCTCCTCCCAGCAGGGCAGGTCGGGCTCTGAGGTGCGGCAGAGGCCTCAAGCCTTAACATATTTTAAAAAAAAAAAAAGGTGGAGAGGACAGCGGCCCCGCCAGGGTCCGGGAAGGGAAAGTGGCCCCGCGGCTGTCCCGGGCGCTCGCCAGGAGCTGGGCGGGCAGCTGTGGGCCTGGTGGCGCCTCTGCGGGCGGCCGGGGGCGGCCTGGGGGTCCGCGGGCCAGAGCCTGCGCCCAGGCCCACCGCCCCCGCCGGCCGGCCGCACCAGGACGCTTCGGAGAACCCCGCACGGCTCACCTGCGCCCGCGCCCCCCGCCGCTGCGCAGACGCGTCTCGGGGCCGGCCGGGGGCGGGGCAGGGCGGGGCTAACCTGGGGGCGGGGCCGTGCGGAGAGCAGTCGGCCGGGGCGGGGCTAAGACGGGGGCGGGGCTAACCCGGGGGCGGGGCCCGTGCGGAGAGCAGTCGGCGGGGCCGGGGCCAGTGGGCGCGAGGCTCCCCGGCCCCCGACTCAGCGGGTCCCGGAGTGTTGCGGGGTCCCGGCCGGCGAGGCTACCGGAGGATCCGCCGTTCCTGGTCTGCACCCCGGACGCGCAGAGGCTCAGCGGGGCCCCCGCCCCTCTGCCCGGAGCGCGGGGACCGGGCACCCAGACGCGGGGACCATCCTCCTGGGGCTCCGAGGGGCGCAGGCGGAGGGCGCGGCGCCTGCGAGTGCCCCACGCTGGCGCCCGTTGCTGCGGAAGGCGCGTGGCACGACTGGGGTGAGAGCGGGAAGGTGCGGGCCGGATTCCTTCCTTAGCAGGCAGTTTGCGTGCCGGACCCCGCAGTGTGCAACGTGGACACCGGGGAAACGTCGGTGACCAGACCACAAGTCTCCGCACAGGCTTTCCTTCCAGGGAGCAGAATTGTCCGGAACCGTCTCCAAGTGGGCCCCCAGCCAGAGCGCCCCAGCCAGCAGCCCACGCGGGGGGGGGTCCAGACCCTCCACGGGCAGGAGTGGGACAGTGTCCCGTCTAACGCTGAGCTGGGGATGACACCTGTCTTGGCTCCTGCACGGTGGCCTCCCCCAGGACAGGGGTGTGGATGTAACCCAAGGCTTGCAGAAGATGGTTAGCCCTATGTGGTCCTAGTTGAGAAAAAGGTGAGACGGTGCCAACGAACGCCAAGGTTTAATTCTGAGTCAGAGAGCAGGACACGGTCAGGGACGGCTGTTCAGCTGGGTCCAGGCCTCTGGGGCTGACCACATCCAGGGAGCCTGGCTGGGGCCTACTTGGCCCTTCTTGGTCTTGCCGGGCAAGGGGTGTCGGACTGGTGCAGGGGAAGCACTCTGACCCCTTTCTGCTTCAGCTGGTTGTAGTAGTCAGTTCTCTCCGTGATGATCCTCTGGACAAGAAGCACAGCCGTCACGGTGATCGTCCCAAGTCCCCACTGGGCCTCCAGGCTGGCTGCCGGACGCCACCCCTCCTCCCCAGGAGGCTCCCTGTAGCAGTGGTGTGCTGGGAAACAGCTACAACTGCTCTTCGGGGGAGGGAAGACAAAACAGCTCTGCTTTGTGGCATTTGGCAGATTTCTGTGGTCTAATGTCTGTCATCCACCCAGACATGGAGTCACAGAACTCCTGGAGGAACACTTCGCTCCAGGGGCAGTGCTGAGTGCATGTACTTGTCACTGCTCCTGGCATGTAAGCCCCACCCAGCACTGTCACTTCCAACAAGACATTGGAGTCCACAGAACTCCAGGTGGGAGGAGACACTTCGCTCCCAGGGGCAGTGCTGAGTGCATGTCACTTGTCACTGCTCCTGGCACTGTAAGCCCCACCCCCAGACTCCTGGACACCTTTGAGGTCTGCAGACCTGTCCCTCAAGTCCCTTCTGTCCTGTGCAGAGGAAGGTTGACCCATCCCTCTCCAGTGTCCTCCGAGGTTGCTGTTTCATGTCAGGCAGCAGCAGGAAGGCAAAGGCGTTCTTCCCTGGCTCCCCCATCTCCCTCCTCTCCTCTCCCGCTCCACCCCTCCCCAGACAGCAGTGACAAGGCCAGAGACCTCCCCCACTGTTACAGCCCTGCAGGGCATCCTGGCCAGGCCCAGCCCACACCACAGGGGCCGGAAGCAGCCCCAGGGAAACGTGGGTGCTGGGGGGTCACAGGTGCACGCTGGCGTCCTTAGCCAACCCCCCCAAAAGGGAGTGTGGGACTTGGGAACAGAGGCAGCTGCAGTGAGAAGTGACTGTATTCGGGCTCGGCCCCACAGAGAGCTCTGGGTCCCAGGACACCTGCAGGAGGCATGCTCCCCGGTTACAGAGGGGAGCATCTAGGGCCGAGAGAAAAGAGGGGCCCACAGCTTTGCTGCCCAAGGGTGTGGGTGGTGACCCACTCCTGCCCAGTGACCTCAAAGCCTGCATTATCCCCTACAGCGTCCTGACTCTGGAGCCCTCTGCCTGGGCACCCGTGGTCAGGGAGGAGGCTGAGGCCGAGAAGGGAGGGTCTGTGCCGGGCCCTGGCTCAGCAGGGGACGATTCCAGCAGAGGGGCCAGGCTCCTGCTGTGGGAGAACCTCCGAGAACGGAGCAGGTGTCCCCTCCCCAGGGCATTCAGAAAGGGCACTGCTGGTCACTTTTGCTGAGAGCAGCCCAGGCTGGCCAGTTCTGTGCGTGCTCAGGGACGATCTGGTCCCTCTGCCTGAGCAGAGAGAAAGGATGGTCCTGGCGGTCCCGGTGAAAGGGAGACGCGGGCAGGATGAGCGCGGGGTCCCCTGAATCCAACCCAGGCCTCCCCACCCGTCTCCGGCTGCAGATCTCTGGGCTCTGGCCTCCAGGGTGGGGGCAGCTAGCCGGGGAGGTACCTGCAGGGCTTCCAGGATGTCATTGTCCGAGATCTCGTTGTTCGAGGCCTTGACCCCAGGGCTGCTGTAGGTGGCCTGGATGATCTTGTTCCTCAGTCTCTCAAGCTGTGAGCAAGGGTAGGACACGGTCACCTGCCTTTGCCAGAGAGCAGCACCTGGTGCCTGGGCTGCACCCTCCCACCCCCTCCTGGCGTTTTGCAGGCCAAGAAGGCACCGCTCACCCTCACTTGTCAGGGCGTTGGGGTCAGAGAGGTCAGTATGGTCTGCCTGAGAGCGAGAAGGTGCCCGATCAAAACCCAGACCCAGGGTGGCCTAGCACCAAAGCCCACAGACTTCCTACCTCATAACTGTTTTTTTATTTTGTTTTTTGTTTTAATTGGAAAAGTAAGACCTGCATGTAATTCAGCAACAACAAAACAATGCACATGCTCACACGACCCCGGGACCGTCCCCACTTCCCAGAGGAGCTTCGGTGGAGGGGACTGTCCTTTGAGCTCCATCTGCCCCTTGCGTTTGGCATTCAACAGGCGTCTTGGCGGCCCCTCCTCCTTTGCTTGCTGACCAGGAGGCTGCGGTGCTGTGGGCGTCAGCGTCTAACTGGCCCCGTGGACAGGCCTTAGGTTTTCTGGTCTTTGCGCCATAAACATCGCTGTAGGCGTGTGGCTGCAGCCCACCTCCCCAGAGGCATGCTAATCACGCCTCCCAGGAAACTGCAGAGGAAACCCCTCCAACCTGTGCCCCAGGAGCCTCAGACAGGGTCCCCCAAGTTACAGCGACAGGCCTGGCCCCAGCTCCTCAGCCCTCAACGTCCAGAAACCCTGACGATTTCGGAGGCGCCAAGTGCGAGCCAGGCCGTGAGGCTGGGCAACGCCCCCGAGACGCGAGCACGTCTGGTTTGTCTCTTGGCACGGGTGGAAGTGGCAGCAGGAAAGTCACAAGCCCCTGGGCCCCCGAGTAAGGAGCAGGGTCCCTTCCTTCTCTCCAGCAGTCGTTGGCTGCCCCCTCTGTGCCGAGCACTGTGCCAGGTGCTGGAGGTGCCACGGGGACGAGGGGCTTAGTCCCTGTACCGGGGCCTCGCCCTGCCTGGCGGTCACCTGGGGTGTCCAGTCTCGATTCCCCACTCCTGCGGGGGCCTTACGCATCAGTCCCGGCACTGTGTCCTGCGGGAGCCCTCAGAATTCTCCCCAAGCAACATGGCTTGGCAACAAAATGACACTCACAAGGCATTTGCGCTGGGACTGCTGTTGAGTTGGAAACAGTGTCATAAAAGATGCGGGTGCAGGGGCCTCAGTGACGCTCTCTGACCCAGCCAGACAGAAGGAGGCCGGTTTAAACAGGAGAGAGGACACAGGCCAGTGACGGTTGGCGTCCCCGGTGGGGGCGGGTGGGAAGGGAAATGTCATTTCAAAAGCCGCACACGTGTGAGCTTCACCCTTGCTTCCTCTCGGATTCTAAATCAAGGTGGGCTCTTTCCTGACTCTCCCCTGGCCGGCGCGGGTCCCTCCTGAGCAGGTGGCCCCGGGCTGCCCCTGTGCCTGGGCCACACCTCCTGTGGCAGTGACGGCCGCTGGGTGCGAGCCCAGCAGCCCCTCTGAGCCGTCTGGGGCCTCAGGTGGGTGTGGGTCCTCTCCTGCTTGTCTGTGGAGTGAGCACGAAAGCAATAGCTGCTCGCAGTCTTGTGGGAAGGGTTGACTTTACTGCCAATCAAGCGCCTGTCAGTCAAGCCCCTAGCCACACTCCACAGTCATAAATGGGGGTCCCGGGGCACCCTCGCCCCCCGCCACCAGGCTGTCCAAATCCTTTCGCCCCTGCCCTTTAGCAGAGCGCAGCCTGGGCCCCACACGGCGGCCCCCGCCCACAGGGCTCCCTCCTGCCACTGCCGATGAGTGAGGTTTCGGGTGCTTTGCTGCAGCCTCACTGCCTCCCCGCCCACGTTGCTTGAGCCTCACGTCCACTGCATGCGGGTGCTGGGAGCCGGACCACCTGGGGGAGGGCCGGGCAAGGGCCTGGCGCGTACCCTGGACTGGGCGCTCTCCAGGGCCACGCGGGCCTGCTGCTCCGCCTGCCCGATCGCCTCCTTCTTGCTCTGCAGCTCCTCCTGCAGCTGCCTCCACCTCTGCAGGTGGTTCTGGTCCTGCTCCACCTGGGCCTGCAGCTCGCTGGTCTTGGCGTCCAGCTCGGAGATGACTTGGTCCCGCTTGCTGAGCATGTCTTCCAGCTCCGACAGGCGCTGGGGAGAGCCGGGGGCGACTCTCACTGGGGTCCTCCAGCCGAGGACGGACCCGGCCACCACCGCAAAGAGCCCTCCGCGCGGACCAGACCGTGGCCCGGGGCTTGCCCAGTGGGGTGCAGCCGGGGCTGAGGGGGGCCGACACTGAAGACTGCTCCAGCCCCGCCTCACCCAGCTGACCCTCACGCCCCGCCCAGGCCGTCACCTGCCGGAGGAGAAAGTTGTCCTTCTCAATGGACCCCATCATCTCCTGGTGTTTCTTGTCCTCTCGGAGGTTGGAGAACTGGAAGGCAGACAGAGGGGCGGGCTCAGGGCACTCCCAGGTTGCGATAGCAGACTGAACACTGGCCTCTAACTTCGCTCCCTCCCGAGACCGCCCTAAAATGACAGCGGCGGGAATTCTGTTGAAGACCAGAGACGAGAGAAGAAAGAGCACTGAGAACAGTTGGGAGGTCAGAAGCAGAGGCCCAGTGGCATCTGGCGTTGCACATCCAAGAACCCTGAGCCCCAAGCCGCCGGTCGGGGAGGCTTCAGAGGAGCCCAGTTCACGCTGGAGTCCCCGAGAGCCTCAGAAGTGGGCGGTGCTGGGTTCTCCCAAACGTGGGGCTACAGTGCGGGCAGCGGCGGGGTGTTGATTCAGAAGCTAAGGGCCCCAGGCTCCTCCCGGACCTTGAGCTGCGGGGCACCGGCCCTTTTCCACCCTGGCAGGGACCGGATGTCAGGAGACGCCGCCCACGTGAGGGTGGAGACGCGGGGCTGTGCGTGGACGCTCCCAGAGCCCCAGCAACAAGGGCTTGGCCCTCCAGGCAAGAAATGCCTCCAGTTTCCTAGATTGTAGGAGGATCTGACAAACCAAGAAGACTAAAAACTCCCACAATGCCAGCGCGCAACATCGGCCACGAGCGTCAGAGATCTTTCAGTCAGCTTGGACAACTTCTCGAGCAGAACGACGGAGACCAAGAAGGACTATAAAAAGGAACTCGCGGGAAAGAAGTTCAAAGCTGGGACTGTCACGGGCGCTGTCATCGAGGGACGAGAGGGTCCCGCAATGGCGAAACAGCAAGAGGGCGCTCCGGAAAAGGAGAGAAAGAGAGGAACGTTCAGAGAACAGAAGGGAGATCTTGCACATTTAAAATAACGCAAAAAAGTTACAACTCAAGAGGAGGGGTGCCGATGAAGTAAAGGAATCCTCTAGAAAGCAGATCCAGACGACGAGGAGAGGAAAGGTGGGGAGGGAACCAGCGAAAGAAAGAAGGCATCCGATCAGGAGGCCAACCAGCAAATACCGGAGAGACCAGCGAGACTCCCTCTGAAAAAGAGAAATAAAAACAATGCGCAAGGAAAAGGAAGACCCCAGAGCCGAAGGATGGCAGTTCTCGCAGACCGGCCATCATGAGATGCCCAGTCCCAGCGGGGGGAGGTTCACCCTCTAATAGGTGCGGTACTGCTGTAGGTTCTTGAGAAACACCCTTGCACTCAGCCCAGGCCCGGCCTAGGTTTTTTTTTGGCTCACGCCTAGTAATCCTACACTCTGGGAGGTGCCGAGGCGGGCGGATTGGCTCAAGAGGCTTGGGGAGTTCGAAACATCTGAGCGAGACCTCCTGTCTCTACTAAAAAGAAAAAAATTAATTGACCCAATAAAAATGAAATTACAAAAATTTCAGCCGGGCATGTGGCGCATGCCTGTGATATCCCAGCTACTTCGGGAGGCTGAAGGGCAAGTGAGATTGTGAGCCCAGGAGTTTGAGATGCTGTGAGTCTAGGCTGAACGCCACGCACTAACTGTAGCCTGGCAAACAAACGAAGACTCCTGTCAAAAAAAAAAAAAAAAAAAAGAACCGGGTCGTAGGAAAGAGCAAGGATCCGGGTGACCTTGGACTTCCACTCAAAGCGAGTCACTCTGAAGCTAGAAGACAATGGAGCAAGACAAGGCCTTGGTAATGGCAGAAAGGAGACTCGCAGGAATGGGAAACCCAGCCCAAGTTCTATGAATGTGCAGGATGAGGACATTTGCCGGCACGTCCTGTCCCCAAAACTTCACCCCCGTCCACCCTTTCTCCAAAGACCACTGGAGGACATGCTCCACCAAAAACAAGGGAGAAAGAGGAAGATATGGGTTGTAGCAGCTTCGAAATCGTGGCGCAGGAATCTCCACACTGTTTCACAAGACGTTTGTGCCGTTTGCGCGTGTGTGCTGTAAACGACTGTCCCCGCGACGCCCGTGCAAAACAGGCTCCCACTGACGTTGTGACAGAATGACACTGGGAGGAGGGCGGATGGGAGGGTCCCCTGTGTGTGTGCTGGGCAGGGGAGGAAAGAGGGAAACATTAGATGATGTGAAGATAGAGAAAAACCCAAAATGGGCATGGTGCGCAGCGCTACTTAGCAATAGGGAGAGGGCTTCCTAAAGAACCTGCTAGAAGAGTTGAAAGCAATTGCCTTGGGCGAGGGGCAAATGAGAGGGAGCAGGCTCAGAGGCTTCTGTTTTTCCTAACAAGCCTCGTGGAACTATTCGTGCATGAATAACTGTGATAAACATAAAAATGCTCAACAGAACAGCAAGACCGAGCTCAGAGGTGTAGCAGCCTCTCCGAGCGCGGAGGGGGCTCTGGGCCCTCGGGCATGCTTGAGACGGGGGAGGGGGGCACAGTGCCTGGGGGTCAGAGGGCGTGTGAGCTGTGGCTGGCCCCCGGGGCACCCCAGCTCTGCGACCCTCCCCGAGGGAGGCCAGCAGCGTTGCCAGGCGCACAGCCACCTTCTCTGTCATGGCTTGTAACTGGTGCTTCCGCTCTCGAAGCTCCTTCTGCAGCGTCTGGTTCTCCGTGCCCATCCTTCGCAGCTGGGATTCTTGGATGTCTACTTGGCGCTGCAGAGACGCGATCGTTCCTGAGCGGGCGGTGGGCAAGGAGGCGGCAAGGCACGAGGGAGGGCGCCGTGAGCAGCGGGGAGCGAGGCCGGGTGACCTGCGCCCCAGGCCCCGCTGCCCAGCAGGGGTTGGGCAGCCCCACTCCTGCGCCAGGCCCCGCCGGCCCCACCTCCGCCCAGGAGTGGCAGGCGAAGCCTAGCGCCCCCCAGGACGGCGCCCTACCTGTGGCAAGGGAGTATCTGGTCCTGATGACCTCCAGCTCGAACTGGAACTCCAGAATCACCTGCTCGTACTCCTCCAGCTGGGCCATCAGCTCTTCCTCGAACGTGTCGCTCAGGGAGTAAGTCTTTCTCTGGACGTCGTCCTCCTCGTCCTCCAGCAGCTCCCTTTTCTCCTCCTCTTCCACTTCCGCCTCCTCTTCCACCGCATCCAAAACCACCATCTTGCCCACACTACTCTTTGTCCTGGCGTCCTCCGACCCCACCAGCTCCCTGGGCGGACCCTCCTCCTCCTCTTCCTCGATACTGCCCTGCTCCGGCTGCTTGCCCGTCTCCGCCACCACGCGCTCGTCCTGCATCTGGGAGGGGAAGGCGGGCTGGGCAGGCTGGAGGGTGGCTGAGGGCCACCCCGGGTCAGGGCTGCAGGTGGGGACACCCCTGGCCTGAGCCTCCTCAGCACCGCCCCGGGCAGCCTGTGGGCCCAGCACACCTGCGCCCTGCTCCCCGCGGCCTTCACCTGCTTGCTGCCTGCCGGCTCCGGCTCCCTGGCTTTATGGAGGGCCCTCAGGATGCTCAGCCTGCTCCCCTTCAGCGGAACCTCCGAGCGCTCCTGCAAGAGCCCGTGCACACACTCAGTGTTCCAGCCACTCCTGCAGCAGCCCGGGGGATGCTGCTGCCTCCCGTCCTCCTGGAAGGGGACAGCAGCTTCTCCAAGTCCAGGCGGGGGAGGGCCCGTGCCCTTCTGCCAAGAGGACAGGAGCAGGGGGTGCCCTGTCGGTGGAGGGAGGGACAGTGATCTGAAGATGGGCAGATGGTGGCAGTAGCGCTTTGGGCAACCCCAGAGCAGCCGCCAGCAGGTGGCCCTGCAGCAAAGAGCACACCTATGTGGAAGAGCCTGGGGGCCTCAGGCCACTCACCCCCACCCAGCAGCCGCGGGAGGATGGGCACAGAAGCCCTGCCCACCGCCCCGCTCTGTGTCTAGCAGTTCTCCCCAGGGTGTGCCGCATGGTTGAAGCCTTCCCCTGGCCCCACTTCACAGCTGCCCCAGCGGAAACTCAGGCTGTGCCCTCAGGTGTGAAAGAGACCGGGTCTCGGGAAGAACAGGTGTGCACCCTGGGTGCACAGACCCGCCTTGCCCAGTCCTCCACGCAGGCCTGGAGTGGGGCAGCCGCAGCCCCAGCCCCAGCCGTTGGGAGCCTTGTGGCCAGGAAGCAGGGCAAGGCCAGGGCAGGCCACCCGCAGCAGCAGCTGGGGCAAGGCCTGGGGGACCCCCCTGCAGCGGCGGCCTCCCATCCTCCCGGATTTCGGAGGTCAGCTCAGCCCTCACTTCACAGGTTAGGAAACTGAGCCCAGAAAGCGCTGAGACTCTCCCCAGGCTGGAAACAAGGCCGAAGCCACGGGCAGGTGTCCGGACGCCCAGCTCACAGCTCTCGTGGCCATTTCCTGCTCCGTCCCCCTCGCCCCTGCATTCCAGCCTACAGGCCAGAACCCAGACCCGGCCTGGTCCGTGCTCTGGGGGAGGAGCCAGCAACATTCCAGGAGGCCTGGGCATGTGCGGGGGGAGAGGGGGCCTGCGGTCACCAGCAAGTTTGGACACTTCGGAAATGGGACCTGCACCCTCCCCGCCGGGAGCTGGCTCACCCTCCTGAACGAGGACACGGATAACTCTTTGGACTTGCTCCTCAGGAGGGATTTCAGTTGCTTCTTCAGGGACTCCCTCTCCTCTTGGAGCACCAAGATCTCCTCATCTTTCTTCTGAACCTGTGTCTCCAGCATGCACAGCCGCTGGATCTCCTCTCGCAGCAGGAACAGGTGGTGATCCTGTGCAGAAAAACGTGGCCACCCCGTGGACCATCCGGCCACACGTGGACTCTCCACCCCCCGCCCGTCCACCTCCAGCCCAGGAGGAGCAGATCTGCTGTCCCGGAACCCCAAGTCCTGAGACCAAGGCGCGTCCTTCTAGGGCCTTACTGCAGCCGTGCCCGGTGCCTCCGACACCTCTCCACCCGCCCCGAGAGCAGACCCAAGGAGATTCCTGGCAGAGTCCCTTTCAGGCCCGGCGCATGGTCAGTGCCCCCTAAGAGCTGCCCCAAGGGGCTTGCCAGGGAGCCCCCGCCTTCCATTCTCAAAATTTCAACTGCCTCAATTCTTCAAAACTGAAGACAAAAATAAAGGTATTTTCAGGCAAACAGAAGTTGAAAGATTTTTCCACCAGCAGATCTGAACTAAGAGAAATACTAAAGGGACTTCTTCAGGCAGGCAGGCAGGAGGAAAATGGTCCCAGAAGAATATTCTGGAAGGAAAGATGACTAGAAAGTCCCCCAAAATGTTTGGAAATTAAGTGATGGGCTTCTATATAGACCATAGGTCCAAAAAGAAATCACACAGGAAGTTAGAAAACATTTTGAACTTTTGGACATAGCAAGACTTTATGCAGCTAAAGCTGCGATTAAAGACAAATGCGTAGCCTTAACCACTTCGGTACCAGCGTTGACAATAGTCGATAGCCACAAATGAACGCACACATCGACTTTAGCCGACAGCCGTGATAGGACTTTTCTAATTTTTCATTTATCAAAATAAAATTGTAAACATTTAAAAATAGTGTAATGAAAACATACATGTGTATGTTACCTATTCTGATTTACATTACAAGTAAAGCTGCCTGTAAAGTCAAACAAGCTTTCAGTGCTTTAAAGCTTTCCTCACCACACAAGAGCAAAACGGACTCGTCAATGCCCAGCACAGACCACCGTGCGGACTGTGAGTGCCGGCTGTGGGCGAGGTTTTGCAGCCAGTAAGCCTGGTACCGAAGTGGTTAAAATGCATGTATTGGGGAGGGATAGGAAATCAACGATCTAAGTATCTCAAGAGTTTAGAAAAAGAACTGAAAATTAAACTTAAAGAAAGTAGAAGGAAGGGGAAAAGTTAGGTGCAAGAATTAATGCTATGGGGAGAGAGAGAGAGAAAGAGAAAGAGAGAGAAAGAGAAAGAGAGAGAGAGAAAGAGAGAAAGAGAGAGAAAGAGAGAGAAAGAGAGAGAGAGAAAGAGAGAGAGAGAAAGAGGAAAGAAGAGAAAAAGATAGAGACAAGAGAGGACAAGAGAGGAGAGAGAGAGAGAGAAACGAAGAGAGAGAGAGAACAGACGAGAAAGAGAGAGGAGACCGAACGAGACGAAAGAGAGAGAGAGATAGAGAGAAAGAGAGAGAAAGAGAGAGGAGAAAGAGACAGAGAAAGAGAGAGGAGAGAAAGAGAGAGAAAGAGAGAAAGAGAGAGAGAGAAAGGAGAGAAGAAGGAGAGAGAGAAAGAGAGAGAGAGAAAAGAGAGAGAGAGAAGGAGAAGAAAGAGAGCAGCGAGAGAGAGAACGAGAGAGACGAGAGAAGAGAGAGCGAGCAGAAGAGAGAGAGAACGAGAAAGAGAGAGAGAGAGAAGAGAGAGAGAGAAGAAGAGAGAAGAAGAGAGAGAGAGAGAGAGAGAGAAAGAGAGGAGAGAAAGAGAGAGCGAGAGAGAGGAGAGAGAGAAAGAGAGAGAGAGAAGAAAGAGAGAGGAGAGACCGAGGACGAGAGCACGAGAAATGAGACGAGAAGAGAGAGAGAAAAGAGAGCGAGAGAGAGAAGAGAGAGAGAGAGAAAGGAGGAGAGAGAGAAAGACCCGAGAGAGAGGAAAGAGAGAGAGAGAAAGAGAGAGAGAGAAAGGGAGACGAAGAGAAAGACGAAGAGAAAGAGAGAGAAAGAGAGAGAGGAAGGCAGAAAATGAGAGAGAGAAGAGAGAGCACGATAAGAGACGAGCAGAGAGAGAGAGAGAGAGAGAGAGAAAGAGAGAGGGGAGAGAAAGCAGAGAGAAAGAGAGGAGAGAGAAAGAGAGAGAGAGAAGAGAGAAGAGAGAGAGAGAGAAAGAGACGAGAGGAAAGAGAGAGCAGCGCAGACGAGCGAGAGAGAGATGAGAAAAGAGAAGAGAGAGAGGAGACAAGAGAGAGAGAGAGAAAGAGAGAAGAGAGAAACGAGAGAGGAGCACAGAGCAGAGTAGGAGAAAGAGAAAGAGAGAGACGACGAGATAAGAGAAGAGAGAAGCAGAGGAGAGAGACGGAGAGAGACGAAGAGAGAAGAGAGAAAGAGAGAGGAAGAGAGGAGAGAAAGACGACGAGAGAGACGAAGAGACCGG